TATCTATTTATCTTTATTTTCTGGTGCTGGGCATTGATCCCAGGGCCCTGCACTTGTTAGGTAAGGACTCCGGCACTGAATTGCACCCCACAGCCCTGGTCACTTTATTCTTAATGTTCTTGAAGGCTGTTCTCTCCATGGCCACTTAGGGCCACTTAGTAAAGCAGGGCTCCAGGGAGAACTTGGTTTATTTTTTAAACAGACTTAGGCACTGGACTGCTCATGTATCAAAATCCTTCAAAATCTATCTGGTATAATTTAAGTTCCTATTATTTTGGGGTTTTCCTTGGTCAAGTCTTGAAATTGAACTTGTTCTTAGCATTTAGCCAGAGAGTTGTATTTAACATTTTGTTTTCCAGAATTATTTTTATTTCCAGTTTTCATCTTAAATAAAAATCTAAACTATTCTACTTTAGTTATGTTGCAGAAATTATTGTCAAGATCCAGATTCATCTCTGAGAGCCCCATATTCTCCCCTAATTTCTGAAGTCTCTACTTGAAATACTAATAATCTCCTGATAAGAAGTTGAATTTATTTTTATTTTTCTATAGTTTTTTTTATTATGTTCATCTTTTTTTTATTAGATCTTTATGGTTATATATAGTAGTTGGGTTCATCTTGACAAACTCAAGACATTCATGAAAATAGATTTCAGTTCATGATCACCCCCTTAAAGTTCATCTTGATATACATTTTTCTTAAACAATTTTTTGGATGATACTGGGTATTGAACTCAGGAGCACTCAACTACTGAGCCACATCCCAGCCTTATTTTGTATTTTAGAGACAGGGTCTCACTGAGTTGCTTAGTGCCTCACTTTTGCTGAGGCTAGCTTCTCAAATAATTTTTGTTTCACCAAGATTTTTAATTTTATCACTCAGAATAATTTATTTTATTCTGTAAGTCAGTCTTCTTTGTAAATATCATTAAATGATATTTTACAAGTTATTGTTTTCCTTTCATTTTTTGAATTAAATTTCCCAATGATATGCCTATTCTATTTAAGGAATCTATGCTGGGTCTTAATTATGGATTCTATAAAATAAAATTATTTCCCCTCATTATAACGTTTCTTTTTATCTTTTACTTCTATGTTTATTATTTTATTTCCCTATCTCTTTGTCTTTTTTTGCCTAAATTCTGAGTAGAATATTTAGTTCTGTTCTCATAAGTCTTTTTTTTCCTTTAAAGCTTCTAGGGTTATGAATCTACTAGTAAAACAGCTTTGGCTGTACCTCAGAGCTTTTAGTTAAATAATGTTCTCACATATGTTATGTTCTAGCTTGCTTAACTAGATCATTATTTATGCAACTATTTCTAAAATATCCAAGTAAGTAATTTGGGGTGTTTTAACCCTTTGAAGTTCCATTATTAGTTTCTAATGACATTTTATTACTGCAATAATGAAGTTGTACAACTTCTACTGGAGACATGTACTGAAATACATTCTGGTCCTGATTATGATCAGTATTTGTATGTGGCACATGACACCTGAGAAGATCATTTATTGTTGTTAAGGTACAATGTGTAGTTATTTATTCAAACATTAATTAACTTGAGTGCTTTATGTCCACAGTTATTTATTTTTGTTTCCTGGAACTGTCTGAAAATTATAGTATTTCAAACAATTTTAATAGTACTCATGTGTTTCTAACAATTTTTGTTTCCATAGAATGATACTATGCTATTCTGGGCTTAGTGTTTGCTGACTCTCCTGGCATCTTTAGGCCTTGTATCAACATGTATTTAACCCATTGTCCAATTCATTCTTTAATATGAGTACACTACCCTTGCTTTTTTCTTCCATGTTTTCCTGACATATCTTGTTCTTTTATTTTCAGCTGTATCCTATCAATTTTTATGTCATGGAAGCATCGTTTTTTGTTTTTTTTTAATTTGATTTTTTAAATTGAAATTGATCTTGAAAAAAATTCTATGTAACTACGTAAGAGATCTCTGGATCCTTACTTGGGAGCTTTTTTTAGGTGCCTGACCGTCTAGGTGAACATCATTATGAGAGGTGATAGAATTGCACTAACAGAAGTAGAATTCATTCACCTCCGGCTTTTTTGGATGGGCTGAAAACTCAGATACTAATAAACTGATGGCCATATTCATACAGCATTGTCTTGTGGTTTACTGTCTAGCATCTCTGAAGATGAAATTGGAGGAGGGGAGATCAAGTTGCCCTTGGCAACTCTGTCTCTTCCGTCTGGTAGCAGGCCACATGCTTGATGCAGAAGAAACTTCCTCCAAATATATGTCTTTAATCCCCCCAATCGTCAACATTTCCAGCTGTGTTCCCATATCTGCCTCTTATTTGTCTCTTTTTTTCTCTCTTTCTGCCTCCAAAACCCTTCACCAGTGAACCCATGACTATTCACTATTGTGCCATATTCCTTAGGATAAACATGGGAATCTAACACTCAGTACTTCATTTTAGAATTTTATAAGCCACCCAAGGAGACACAAAGCCATGCAAAAATAATAACTAAATATTAAACTCTTTAATAGTAATTATTAGTTGAAGAGACTTTTTTTTTAAAGAGAGAGAGAGAAGTTTTTTTAATATTTATTTTTTAGTTTTCGGTGGACACATCTTTATTTTATTTTTATGTGGTGCTGAGGATCGAACCCAGCACCCCGCGCATGCCAGGCGAGCGCGCTACGGCTTGAGCCATATCCCCAACCCAAGTTGAAGAGACTTTTTAAGAAAAGAGCTACATGGGTCAATTGCAATAGGCAGCTAAACAATGTGGTGCTGCGGAGCTTTGTGGTCTAGGTAGAACTTAGCTAAAAGGAAAGACCCACTTTATGTTGTGTACCCTGTGTCAGTGGCTGCCAGACACGATTCCTTTGGGGACTTCGGGAGGTTACCCGTTCAGCAGCTCTGGAGATGGATCCCAGGAATCTGTATTTTTAGAAGCTCTAGAGTGATTCAGACACGTGGCCAAGTTTAGAAAACATTACTTTAAATGATCTCATCACATCTGAAACTGTTCTTAAGCTACATAAATCTATTATGTATCCCTGAAGATACTGGAAGTTTCCATTTGTCTTACAAGGTTCGAATAAGGCACAAAACTATGCTAACTCATAGATAGCTTTTTCCAAGTCAGGACAAAAAAAGATCAGGCGCCTGCCCACACCCTTTGACTTCTTATTCCTGTGTCAGTTTCAATCGCAGTATCCAACAATGCAACAGCCTGCAAGTCATTAGCTATCACTCTAAACTAAACCACCACCAACAAACCAAGCTGCTGCCCGTTGAAGCATTATGGTGTCATTCACTGGGAGTGGAGAACAATCAGTATTTGAGAAAATGGAATTGAACCAATGAGTTGGATGTGTTTACTCTGGAGGGGAAAAAAATGCAGGGAAAACGTGTAAGCCCTCTCCAGATATATTCAGTATTGAAGAGGAAGTACAGTTTGCTCTATGTAAAGAATGGGAGCAACATTCATCAGGCCTGTAGGCAGACACATCTTTGTTCAATATGAGGAAGAAGCATCCAAACATGCCTTGAGGAATGAAAGTTCCCAGCTCAGGAACTGCTCAAATAGATGCAAGCCTGGAATTGATCTTCGGATTAAGTGTCTTTTTAGGTTTCTTCTATGCCAGAGACACTGGGAGACAGTCCCATGCAGAATTAATTACGGACCTGGCCAATCCTAGCTGAGCAATACAAGTTTTCCCTGGTGTCAGTGTGGAAATATTTGGTTGCCTAGCAACCAATAAATATCTATGATGCATCAGAAAATCATTAGTTTGTGTCTGAATCGATCGTGTAGTTCCTAACACCACATTTGGTTCATTTCACTCACGACAAGGACTCCCATTAGAGCTTGTTACATATCCACATGGTGTTGAGCTGCCTCTTGTGCTGTTCTAAACTTCATCAAACACTAAACCAGCCAGCCAACTCAGCCATGTTCCACGCACACAATAGAAAGAGAGGTTGGAACCGGGCAGATGCCGGGAGGAGGTGGTGAGGGCGAAATTGCAGTCTGAGGATCTGTAAAACCACTAAATACAGTTAAATCTGGCAGAGTTCTTGGAGTGATGGTACAAGTTTAATCATGAACTCTTCAACTTTGGAATTCTGTGAATTTTTAATACGTGACTAATGCCAGCATTTAAGGTATGGAACAAAGTTTAAATACATAACATACTTTAGTCATAATGTTCCATTCACAGTCTCCTAGGAAACCAACAAAATATATCTGGATACTTTTAAAAGTTTGATCTCATTTATAAAAGGGCTGCTTTATATTACAAGAACCAAAGAACTGTTATTTGTCAAACTTCCATATTAAACATCTGCCAAGATATCTTATTAGGTTTTCTTAGTAATAATGACTCAGAGTCTAAGATAAACCATGGAACCCTGTCAGATTCTATCCACACTAAATAATGGAGACACTCATTTCCGCTCCTTTGTTTGATCTCTCAAACCCAAACCGTAATTTTAAAAAGTGATTGATTTTGATTAATTTCTCTTTCTCCATGAAAGATTTAGAACTACTTTAGGTAACTTTTTTATTAGCCAGTCCAAGACATTTGTGCTACAATATAATTAATCACATTTTTAATGAAAATGATGGCATATTAATTGGTAATTTTGGGATGAGTGTTCTTCCTAATTACTTATTAACCTTTAAATCAGATATACACAAGGGAACAGAAAAAGATTCATGTCTTTGAATATCTAGAAGCTTTTTCAAGGTGCTTTTATAAAAAGAATCCAGAGAAACACTTTCCCCCCTCCCAGAGGAAACTTAAGATTATATCGGGAGTGAAGGGTGGTTTGCTGCTGAACATATTAATATGCTGTACAAGCTTTTGGTACCTATTCTTGGCACTTCAGTGACTCATCATTAACAGAAGTATGGTTGAGTAAGATAGTAGAAATGATGCTCTCAAACTTTCTTTATCACTTAAATTTGTAGCTAGCTGCAGAAGATTCTGAAAAGTGAAAAAAATACTATCATTAGTTGAGATGGTTGGATTGAATATTTCAATATAGTAAAAAATGAGGAAAGCTAGACCCACAGATTTCTGGACCCACGTGTCATGTCTGGCTTCGTGGAGATGAGGAAGGTTCCGTAGAGGAGATGGCAATTGAACCCAGCTCTCTGTCACTAAAACAGTAGGTCCATTAAATGGTTGGACATCAACCAGAGGAAGAGACAGAGAAGTAGATGGCAAAGGAAACGAGTCCAGTTTTTTTCTTTCTGTTGAGAAAGGGCATTCCCCTTCCGAGGCCCTGGTCCTGCTCTCTGAGTCCGTCTGGCCTTCCTGTCCACTTGGCACTGCTGAATAGGAGTCACTCTTTGAAGGTCAAGGTTCCCTTTTCAATTCCTTCTGGAGATTTATTTTCTACCTGTGCTTTACCCCTAGGCCTTTGCCCAGTTAACTCTTCTACTTTCTCCCTTCGTGCGTTCATCAAATAGGAATTTATTAAGAGTCTCATATGAACCAGGTTATGCTTTGGCATAAAAAAACACGGCAGTGAAATGCCATTCCTGCCTTCAAATCACAGAGTTGATGAGAGATCAAGATGATACGAGGTCACTGCTCTCCAGTGTGATTAGTGCCAGGAAGGAGGTCTGTGGGCCCTGGAGTATGGAGAGTCAGGGGAGATCGGGGAGAAGGTGCTGTTGGACCTGTCTAGGAGCCTGGGGGTAGGAATGGGTGAGAGGGCGCAACACTTTAGACATTGCTGACTGCCTTCTCCAACTCCTCGACTCAGCCGCCCAGCTCTATCCTTTCGCCTCTCCCTCTTCCGTGTCTCCCTGTTAGAACATCATCCACCTGAGGAGTTGTCCTGGTGAGGACCATGTGTCAAGCACTAAAGAATAAGACACCCCTGGAATGTGCCGCTACAGGCTGACGAAGGAGTCCACATATCCTTCCTCTCTGTGTGGTTGCCCTCTGGTTCCAGGTGATGACGGTGGCCCTGTGTGTCAGTCCCAGCAAACCAACACTGCCAAAAACCAGGTGAAAAGATACTGAAGTAGAGACAGTAGTAACAAACAGACCAGTTTAAACAAACACCTAAAAAAGCAAATACAAAAATGAATAGATGAATAAAACCATCTTTGAAAGGAACAGAAGAGCATATAAGAATAACAATCCCAGCTGCATTAGCTGCTCATATACCATACGTGGTGGACAATTTCAGTGTGTCATATGTAATCCATAAAATAATTCTGGAAAAGAGGAGACTTAAAAAAGAAAATGAAAATCAACTCCTGGAACAGCATTTGGTACCAGGTAAAAATTCAGTTCAATAACTACGTCTTGAATAGAAGAATAAATCTATTTTTTTTTGGAGTCCATTCCTGCTCCAGGGCAGGGATCTGGTTTTATTCTCACACATCTCCCAAGCACCTGGAGTGACAGCTGCCACATGGTTAGCATGCCTTACCAGAGAATGCCTTACCTGAAACACAAAGGCGCAGGAGCCCAGGGGGATTCAGTATCTTATGCAGAAATCACACGTAAGCTGGGAAGACTTAGGACTTGTTCACAAGTCCACCCGTGCTCTTCCGCTCCTCCTCCCTCTGCATAACACCAGCCTGGCCTCTCCGCCCCTCTCTCCACAATCACTCTCTAATTATCTCAGGCCTCCTCATATTCTAGAAGCATTTTTTTTTTTGGTCTAAAACTCACCAGGAAGGACTTACACAATAGCATATATATATGCGAATAGTTAGCATATACCTCTTTGAGTGGGGAGGGATGGGTACATTTACTCCTTCTGTTTGTGTGAAAATCCTCTGGGAATGCAAAAGCAGATGAATTGCTTGTCCCTGGCTGTGGCAGTAGGGCTTCAGCTCTGGAGACTGCACAGTTGATTCTTAACAATGTAAACAGACTCGCTGATGCATTAAAGCTTGCCTTCTTGATCACCCAAGGTCATGTGGCAACCTGGTCTGTGTCGGCAGCCTACAAGCCTGCGGTATAATGAGTAGAGTGAAGCAAGTTACTCCGAGTGTACCTGGCTGGCTCGAGAGGAAGGCAGAAGAAAACAAGGGGGTGTTAGGAATTGCAGGATTGGGACTATAAATGATTGTGCTTGTGTGAGTAGTTCAGGTGTCTCCGAATGTCACAAAGCGTGGGCATTGATGGTTTGGGTAGCTTATAGTACTAGATTCCAGCTACTTTCATTTTTCTGTTTTTTTCCCCCATCCTTTCTGCAATAATCACTATTTTTCCCATTAGCTGAATAAAATTTAACGATTACTAATATTGACAATGTTACAAGGAATTATGCAATGCTCGTGCCATGGAAGTTTAAATTGATTTAGAGTTTTTGAAGGACAACTTGTAACTATCTGTTATATTCTCAAATGGTCTCATTATGCAAACCAACCACCTCATTTCTAGATGTTTGTTACAGAGAAACGCCTGTGTCTGTGCACAAAGAGACATGGACGTGAATGTTCATCAGTGACACTGATAATAGGGAAAAGTAAAAATGACCACAAAGCTGATCAATAAAGTAATGTAGGGAGGAAATTGGTTAAACAGAGAGTGGTTTGTCGATACTGGATACTGTGAAAGACTATGCGGTGTTTCAAAAATAAGGTAGAACTATGATTCTATCTATCTATCTATCTATCTATCTATCTATCTATCATGTATCTGTTTTTGTTATTTGTCACCTATAGCAAACACATACCGCAAGACTTATAAAAATCCCCCAAAATATTATTCAGTAAGAATGAAAACCTCACTGTAATGTTTTGTATGCTATTATGTGTTTGTAATTGAAATAGAAATACATTTCAATAAGTTATATATATATATATATATATATATATATATATATATATATATATATATATATATATATATTATGTTAATTAGATTTCAGCAGCTAAGCTTTAGCAAGAGACCCAAACATTGCCTGGTTTTTAACTAGATGACATAGACCAATGAACAAGAAGCTTATCTTACCTCTCCCCAGAGGATGCAGTGGCTGTTCCATGGTTATTCAGGTCCCAGGTTCGTTTCCTATTATTGCTCTGTCATGGTCCAGGAGTTGGACCATGCTCCAGGCTAAGGTCACTGCTGCAGCCAGTTCCCAACTGGTCTTGAAGAAAAGGTGAAAATGTGGAAGAGGTCCACTCACTACCTTAAGGCTCCTAACTTCTAGACTGCATGCATGATGTTCACTCTTAACCTATCGGTAAAAACTTGGCCCAACAGCCATCCCATATAGCAAGGGGCAATGGAAATTCAAGACCTGGACAGATGACCACATATACAACCATAGCTCTATTACGGTAGAAGTAAAAGAAAATACACTTGGTAGACCTCTGGTTGTCTCTTCCATCACCAACACAAGTGGAAGATGGAGGGGAATGTGAAGTGTTGTTCTAAGTGAGGGTGCTGAGGGATGGCCAAGGGCATCTGTGCTTTACCAGTGTTCTTTGCATGGCTTAATGTGGGTACGAGGGATCTTGACAGAGGTCACATGCCTTCAGTTGCCTAAGCTCCTGTCTAATTCAGAGTATGTAAGAGTTCCCTTGCAACCCACTTGATCCCCATAATTTCCCCAAGAATGCCACTCTCTTCATTTTACTTTTTACCTACAATGCCTTTACCCCACTCTCTTCCACACTAACTTCCATTGAAACGTTTCAAACATCTGATGCTCATCACGAACTGGATTATAACTATATTAAAAACATTACCACTGACCTCTTGGTCTCACACTGGGATTTTCTTATTTGTTTGTTTACTCAATAATTATACTGGACATTTTTAACAATGATGAGTACAGTAGGAAGTAGGAGATAGATAGAATTGTCATTGACACTAACTCCGCGCCCCTCCCCACCAGAGACACCCATCTAATTGACAAAAAAAGACATCTGAATAGATAAGTAACAATGGCAGTTGTCGTGCTCAAGTTAGTAGTAAATCTATTAAGCTAAGTAGGACTTCAGAATGGAGGCCATCACTAGGATTAGTTTTCAGTGAAGGTTCCTTAATGAGATGAGACCAGAATTAGCACCTCAGGCATAGGCACTATTTGTGTCAACATAAAGACATTCCCATGTGTGGGGGTGGCGTGAACATTTGTTACTTGCCTGCTCTCTGCTGTGCACAGGGCCAGGCATTCTGTAGGCAAAATCCCATTTATTCTTGCAATATATTAATAAAATAGGGACCCTGATGTTACAGATAAGGAAAATGAAGCAGAGAGGGCTCACGCAGCTCGTAGGTAGGTAGAAGAGGTATGATTTGAGTCCAGATCTATTTTCTAGATTGATCTAGATCTGACCGGTTTCTAATTACCCTTACTGTGCCTCAGATATTTTCAGGAAGGAGGAAAAGCAGGAGCAATGTGCCAGGTCTGGTCTGAAGAGAGGTGGGTAGGAGAGCAGACTGAGTAGCTGGGTGTCATTTAGGTTGCGGTCACCCTGGTGTCTCAAGTACCCTGGTACAGGATGGAAGTGCTGTGTCATGCTTCAGTTGGCCTTGACTTTTCCCCCAGCCCCAGGGGAAAAGAAACCCTGCAAGTCAGTCTGGCTCCCTGGCCCACTTAACAAACCAGTGTAGGTGAAGGGTTTCGTTGGAAGAACACACCAGCAGAGTGTGTTAGCTCTTCCATAGCAAGTGCTGCCCCGGAGTCCTGCAGCCTTCCTGTCTCATGAGCATGAGTTGCTTCTGGTTATCTGTGGTCACTAGAAATGAGGGTAGGTGAGATCTTCCAGTTTCCAGAGCTATGTGGTCTCTGATCAATAAGCTCCGCTACTCTCCAAGTTCTGCAGGTTGGACTCCATTCTTCATGATTTCCAAGGTGGCCCTCTGTTAAACTCTTCATGATTTCTGTGAGCACCGTTGGACTTGGAGGTTGCTGATTTTCCCTAGTGCTGCAACCGTCTTTCCTGCTTTCCCCCCATGAAGTCCTCTCATCTGACAGCCAGAACAGAAGTTTCCTTCCTTGCCTATGTTCCCTCTATTTATTCTCTGACCCAAGGCATAAGCCATTTCCAAAAGATCTTTTCTCCACAAGTGGCTTAGATTATGATTCGTCAAATGAGAGAAAGAGAGTTCTAGAAAGGTAGACCAGAGAACTCAGTATTATGGAAGACCTGAATGCCAAAAGAAGTGGTCCATACTTTTTCCTAAAGGTATTCTGACTGTGGAGTGTGGTTGGTAAGGAAAGCTCTTGAGTTCTTTGAGCAGGAAAAGACATTTGCCTTGAATAATCTGGTAGCAACAGAAGATCCGTAAGAAGAGAAAAGGACTCTACTTTGCTGCTCTTTCTTCATAGAGTTTTGATATATGCCCAGCTCTCCAAATCCATATTTCATTTACTCCTCACTGCCTGTCCTGAGGTTGTGGATGTGGCAAGTAAAGGTTGGAGAGTTTCATTTTTCTTGGTACTTGGCAGACTTGAGTTTAATCCACAGAATTTCAAATCAAATACAATAGGTGTAGATCTACTGTGACAGTGAGAACAAACTTCCAGAAGTCTGTACTTATCAGGATCCACACTGTGTTGGCTTCAGGAACAGAACTGAAAGGAAGGGCAGGAGTGTCCAGGAGGGGCTGGAAGGCTGAACTGCAAGGGACAATGAGGAAGGGTGGAGTGGACCCTTACTGAGTGCCAAGCACGCACATTTCTGGGGGTATGCCACCAACTCCCTCAACACCCTCAAGAGAAAGTTCTTATTTTACCCATTCCTTGATGGAGAACACAAGTTCAGAGATTAGAAATAACCACAGCTCCCAAGCGGCAGAGCAGGGGTTGGAACCGGGTCCTGCGTGGTGACTCGCGATCCAGAGCACTGGGTCCGTCACAGCGCTGCTTCATGTGTGGCCCCACACTTGTGACTGAGGTACGGGGAGGAATCACAGTCCCATCTGCAGAGTCAGGGAGACTGTGATGAGGAGAAGACACCCGGTGGTCACAGAGGTGGTGACATGGTTGGGGGTAAGGTGGCAGAAGTCTGTTCAGGTAGAAATTTCTCAAGCATCCAAGGGCAAGAGCCGGAAATACAGATCAGTGTGGCTGATGTCATGAGGCCCCAAGGGAAAACAATTAGAGTCAGAGGGGCCCAAGGGCCGAGTGGGGGCCAGAGGGTGGCCACTAGTGGGGCCAGGAGAAACCACCAGCACCAGCAAAAGAGATAGAGGAGGAGGGACAGTTAGCATCACAGAGAAAACTAGGAATCCATCCATGTTCAGAGGTACTCAATATGGAGGCCACGTAGAGAAGGCTCAGGAAGCAAGCACCTGGCAGCCAGTGAGCTGCCACGATATTTTCAATCATGTCAACTTTATTTATTCCATTAAATACTGTAACCATGAAGGACGACAAAGTATGTTCTCTCTCCAGTGTCACTGCTGTGGATGCCAAAGACCCCATTTTCACCGTGGCTCCTTCTGCCTGGTTATTGTTTTCAATAAAGTATTTGCAGAACATTTGCCTTACATAAACAAATAGAGAAATAATAATAGTTTATACTCCCTGTGAACATTCTAGGAAAGTGCAGGCTTCCAGCTAATGAGGTTTGGAGACAACATAGCAATTTTGATGCCCTGTCAAGCCTGTTAAATGGCGATTCTACCAGGATTTTACACTGAGCCAGAACCAGCACATCATCCCAGGGTATAAATTAGGCATAACTGGATATGCACCGACTCTTTTGGGTCACTGGGATAAAATTTAATGCCATAATTGAATAAATGATACTGTGGTGGCCTGAAAAGCCCTCTTCTAAAACTTCTAGCCCACTCTCAGGAAGTAACTGGAGAGGTTGAGTCCACAGTGTGAGTTTTATAACAGGGTTTTCCACACCTAACCGTGCATCTGAAGAA